TTTAAAAAAAAAAAAAAAAAAAAAAAAAAAAAAAAAAAAAAAAAAAAAAAATCTTCTCTCAGCGAAGGGGTTGAGGCAAGTCAGGACAGAGGTCCCGTTTTGACCATTTCTGTCGCTGGACACAAGCCCAACGCCGGCACCTAAGCTGGGTAATGGTCCCAGACCCTCTTTTACGGGTTGTTTGTTGAGGATTCCCCACGAACAGTTTCTTGGTGAAGGGGGGTGCACCCTAAAGGCCACTCTACTCCTAGGGCTATAAAGGGGACCCCTGCAGAAACAGCTATCTACCTCTCTTGGTGAAAGGAGGTGCACCCTAAACCACTGGGACAAGGGGCAGACAGGGGTCCCTTTGACCGTCCTCTTTTTCCTTTTTCCTTTTTTGATTTTTCCTTTTTCCTTTTCTCTTTTTCCTTTTTTGATTTTTCCTTTTTCCTTTTTCCTTTTCTCTTTTTCCTTTTTTGATTTTTCCTTTTTCCTTTTTCCTTTTTCCTTTTTCCTTTTTCCTTTTTCTTGGCGCCGTCCTCTTGTCCAATGGCACGGCCGGTGGGCACCCGCTAGTGGCAGGGTGAGCTCTGACGGCCTTCAGATCTGTCATTCAAGCGGCTGACAGTGAATCCTCAGCAGCTGGAGCTCATCCTTCTGCTGGTGGATTCTCTTTCTGGCGTCCAGCTCCCACTTACCTGGATCCTTCATTTCTGGCCATAGATCATGCAGATCAAGAAAAACAATGATCACTAGTAGTAGGACCTGGTGCCAGGGAGCTGCAGAGATGTAGCATACCTGAAGCCCCCTCTCAGGAAAAAGCAAGAATTTGAAGCCTATACGACTAGGGCGCTCCGCACCCCCCCCCCACACACACAGCAGCAATGAGGAAGAGGACATGTGCTGCCCTTTTCAACCATCCAAAGACGCAGAGGCGGAATCGCTGCCTGTCCAAATTGGCCAACATGTCCTTCCGCTTGTGGCTCCTAGCTCATCTGCAATTTCAAGAGGTCTGTACAGTCATGATGGGAGTGTGTTGTGGGGACGGAAGACAGTAGAGCTCGCTCACAGCCGGGATATGTACCAAATTGGCAAGTCCGAGTGCCGAGATCCCTGAAATCGCCATCCCAGACTGTGCACCTTAGGATGCAGACAACCTAGTTAACATCTGATCTGCACTGGCTTTTAGCACTTTGTAGATACCCTATGGCAGGGCTACTTCAGGACCTCGGAAACCCAAACGAGTGCTTGTGACTGAAGAGGTCTTGTAGCCCATGCATATGCTATAAGATCAGCTGACCAGGAGTTTGTGGCTGAGTTGGCAGAAAAGCACTTGTCCACACATAGACCAGGACTGTAATGTACTAGCCCACTCATTTACCCCCCCAAAAAGTCAGAGGCCCACAGGGGACTGTGCAGACTGGATGGCTTAGCACTGTTAGCAGTAGCTACCTGGGACAATCGCTGCAACAGCTTGACAGGGGGCAACCTGTGGCATTGCTTCTTGCAAGTCCCTCTGTGTGTGATGCTCCCGGTAAACTCCCAAAACCAGCATTCTCATTAGATTTGAAACACTGTGACAGTGCTTTGCTAGGATCAAGGCCTGCGTGAGCCTGGTGGAAAAGTGTTGGCGCCAATTTCCAGTTTCACTTGTTCTAACTTGGGATGAACCTGTCCAATTAGATGGCCACGTTAGTGCTGATAAAATTATAGCAACAGCCGACCTGATCCTTCTTAGTCAAGTGTGGAAATGATTTTCCAGCTTGGCCAGAGTTCAAAAATTAGCGAGACCTGGTGCTTAGACCCGCTGTTACATGCTCACTGGCAGTTGAGCGATGTATATGGAGCCAAGGACCCGCAAAGTGACGAAAAGGACTCGAATGGACAATGCGGTGTCAGCAAAGCATCAACAAGCAATGTACATCCAGATACATAAGAAAATAGCACAATGTAGCGCAGCGGAAGACTCAAAGATATGACCTGACCTGTCAGATACTGACGCAACACCCCATCATACACCACACATGTGAGAGATGGAGAAGGGACTGCATACATGGAAGAAAGGTCCCTCCTTGAACATGCACATGAGGGAGATACCACAGACGAGGAGATGAGGGAGAGACAAGACGAAGATGGAGGTGAGGGAGAAGACGAAGATTGCGATAGCGAAGTCCAAAAATAGTCTCCCTGCCGAATGTCCAATCAATGTCTGCCACCAAATGTCGAATGAGATCCTGGGCCTCATGCTCGATGTGACCTCTGCCTGTAACCTCTCTCTCTCTCTCTCTCTCTCTCTCTCTCTCTCTCTCTCTCTCTCTCTCTCTCTCTCTCTCTCTCTCTCTCTCT